GAATGTCCTGAAAAGGAAATGTGGCCCTTTTCAGGATGATGTTCTTCCACTGAGTTCAGTTTGAACTGAGGGCTAAGGGATGAGGACTGTGGACAAGCCCAGTGTGTTCTGAGCACCCCTGTTTGCTAGTACTCTGGCCATCTAATCAGAGTGGCTTAAGAGGTACCATGCCTTTGCCAGCTGTCATAGGATTTTTTTATGCTTTAAGAAATATTTATTTTTATTTATGTGTAGTATATAGGTTCTATGTGTGTGGTGGTGACTTCAGAAGCCAGAGAGGATGTTGGATGCCCCAGAGCTGGAGTTACATGAGGTTGTGAGTGACCCATGTCAGTGCTGGGAACTGAGCTCAGATCCTCTGGAAGAGCAGAAAACTCTCAACCACTGAGCCATTTGTCCATAACCACTGGGTCATCTGTCCATAACCATTGGGTCATCTGTCCATAACCACTGGGTCATCTGTCCATAACCACTGAACCATCTGTCCATATCCACTGGGCCATGTGTCCATATCTACTAAACCACTCACCTAGCTCAGTCACAGGCTTTCCATCCCCTTCTCAAAAGCAGATTACTGGGTCATTTAGGAATAAAATATAAAATTTATATTAAACTAATTCAGTCTTATGCTTTTTAATCAGGTTTATTGCGGTGGCATGTTTCCCTTATAAACTGTCTTTATATCTGTGATCTGTGATTGTTCTCATGTTGAGTATTTTATGTGAGGTTAGAGATTTAAAAAAAAAATGTTCAAGAAAAAAATAAAAATCATCAAAATGGGTAGTTATATCTGAGAAACAGCATTAGAGAATTCATTTCCTGCTTCACACTATGGATATTTATATCAATGGTGAAATGTATTATTTCAATATTCTTGGAACTAACATTTACACTCATGCCATCCTAACTCAGTTCAGAATGAATAAATGCAAAAAAAAATAAGGAAATGCATGGAGTTGTGTATTGAGGGGACCCAGCATTCTTTACCTTGAATTTTTATGTTTTCATGATTTTCCATAATGACTTTTTTCATTTCAATATTTTGTTTTTGTCTTTAGTAAACTATAAAAACTGTCTTATATGATTGTGTTCTTGACTGCTAGTAGATATCCTACTGGATCAGAGATAATTGCTGTACTTTTTGATTGTCAAGGCATTTTAAAAGAAATATTAATAGATTTTCCATGACCATATTTCATGGAATGATCATTTGGCCTCTGTATTCCCTGAGGTGGGACCATCCTTGTCAAAAGCCTGAAGGAATATGGTATAATTGTACATTAATTTTATATTCAATTTGCTAATGATTTATTTAGGGTCTTCTCTGCATCTGTGAAGATGGTGGTACATGGTTTTCCTGTTGTATTTGCTTTTCTAGTTTGGGCACCAGACATTTTCAGAGTTGTTCTCAGAAAGCTATCACTAGAATTCTTTGTTCCTAAGCTAGCTGACACACACGTATAAACTCAGTGGTCAGGAGCTGGAAACAGGAACACTAGAATGTTAAGGCCAGCCTAAGTGAAAAATAACCAAAAAAAGAATGATCTGTTACCTCAAAGTTCATACCGTGGTCCTTAGATATGTCTGACAGGCCACTGATGGGATGATAGGAAACGTGAACAGCATGGTCTTTCTTCTTCCTCACTGTAGCAAGTGTCTTCACGATTTTTATTACATTTTAATGTTCTTTTAATCTAGAGCAGCCTTTCTCAACCTGTGCATCACTGCTCCCAGGTTGGGAACTGCTGACTTAGAACCAGGGGGCAGATTCCCACATAGCTTCAAAAGTGCCAGGTGCCCTGCAGACTTCTGCATGCCTCATGACTTCCTGTAACTCCTCTGTGTCCTCAGAGATGCTGAGCTTTCTCTTCCCAAGACTATCACAGTTTGTATTAACCTTATGGTTAATGGCCACACCTCTTATGCCTCTTCTCATCCAGCATTCATTCTTCAGATTTCAACCCCAAGTCTTCTATCTCAGTCACACTACCACTCCAAAGAACTGAATCTGACCCGCTGCTGAGTGGGTAGTGGGCTTTCTTGCAAAATACTTCAAAATTAAAATGTAAAATATATGTACTATAAATTTTTTTTTCTAACCAGCATACACCTAACATCCACTTTGAGCAGTGGAATTTGACAAGCATCAGCATCACTTAGTAAGAGGTGTAGTAGACCAGCTAGAGATGGCATTTCTGAATTGCTTTGGCTCTTTACTAGCATTGTGGTAGCATATCATTTTACATCACTTCTATTTTATATACTGTTTAGTTTTGAATTCATGTAAATACAATTAAAAGTCTTGCCATGGTGTCTCTGATGTTTTTCTGTTATTTGTGTTTCCAATAGTGTACATAAAATATTTCTGTATTAATAGACAGGATTTCTTTTATTTTACGTTTAATTCACCTAAGTCCAGATAATTGGGACTATAATACTCTGTCATACCTGGATTGCAATTTACAGCACTTATTTATGGACATTTGACTGATTTGCAGTTATTCCCACAACTACACACCTGTGTTGTGTGTGTATGTGTCTACTGATGTGTTCAGGCATATATGTTATAAGTACCTCTGAACTAAATATTTTGTATGTATATTGTTATAGAAGAATGAATTGCTTTGTAAATTATTTGAATTTCAAATTTTGTTTGTTTCTTTGGCTAGGAAGCAAAAGGAGATTTTAGGTCCTGTAAGTAGAGTGGTTTTTCACAGCCAGTCTTGGGCAAGGGTTTGTTGTAATGACAGATTTCAGGGAATATATTTTGCTTCTACTTAGAGCCAAGACTAAGATAAACATGTTTCTTTGACATTCCCCTTTGAGGGCCTTTCTTTTAAGATGATGGAATTACTGATGTTTAATTCGGACAATCTCAGCTATTAATTAGATTTCCCCATGAGAAGGGAACCAGCTGACTGTCATAAATATCAGCTCAGGTCCATTTCTTAATAGCATTATAATTCTACTTGTCATTTTGCAACCAACTAATATTTCATAAACATCCTGCTGGTCTTACCACATTCCTATAGACATTGTCACAAAACTCAGGGTGTTTGTAGATTGAAATATGCTTAAGTTACTCTTATTCTACTAATAATTATGTTTTAAGTGGAATATGCAAGATGCTAAGTAAATAAAAAGTTAACACATGAAGACCTTATCTGAACATTTAACATTTACAATAATATAAGTAATGTAAGTGTTTTTATTTTGTGGGTTTTAATCTTTATTAGTTATTTGAGTCTATGGTAATGTAGTATATTTTATTTAAAAAAGTCAAGTTCTGGAATAAAAAGATGAACACATCAGAAGAAACATGCATACATATTAAAAAATAATTTTTCTGTGAAAAAATTTTAGTTCTTCAAGATAATAATGTCTTGTCACCAGAAGCAGGTGAATGAAGAAGCCTGACAACATAAAAAAATTTAGCTACATAAAGAACAAAATCAAGTAATAAAATTTCAGCCATAAATATGACAAGAAATTGAAGAAGTTGGTACTCTCCATGAAGCTCCATCATTGCTGCTTAGCTCTCATAATATTGCTGTGCAGGTTTCTGTGGGGAAAAGGTCATCAGCAGTCCCACCCAGCTTCAAACCCTGTGAACTACAAGAATAACCATCGTGACAAGATACACCCTTGGATGCAAGGGTGACATGAATTAGGGAACCAATGACTTTCTGACTAGATTAGAACCTGCTGCAAATCTATCCAGGAACTCATGGTCAGCAAGCTCACAGTCCCCAAGGGTGAACCTACTACTATTATTTTGCCCCATTTAGGACATAGTATTAAATTGTCTTCAAAGTTCATATCTCTCAGACAATAGATTAGTGCAGCTCTCACACCTCATCAGAAGAATTTCTTTGTGTAGTGGACAGTGTTTAATGCAGAAACTCACAACTCGTCAAATTGCAGAGAAGAGGCTAAGTAGAGTGCTCAGCCACAAACCAGATATCATACCTACTCCCAAGGTCTAGGGACCATCGATGAGGAGGAGGGCAGAAGTTAAGAAGAAGGGGCAGAAAGACCTTTAAGAGAGAGAGCTTGGTGAGGGCCAGAGTAAAACAGTGTCTTCTGGGCATGACAGGACCACTGCACTCACCATTATCACAGCAGCTGTGGATGCCTGCAGAAGACTCACCCAAGATCAAGCCAGTCACCATCCTAGCATGAAGTCAGAAGCAGTTCATGAACCTTCACCCTAGCTGAGGGGCTATGGATGCTGACAGCTTCTGACAGAGGAAGAGTCACTTTTCTCTACGGGTGTGGCTCCTGGTAGGTTGACCACACTCCAGTGAATGACCCCACACCCAGAAGTGTATGAACAACACAAATTGAATTCAATGGCTTATGAAATAAAACAAACAAAAGAGGACATGAAATCGGGGGGTCAGAGAGATGGGGACAAGTCTGGTGGGAGTTAAGGGGAGGAGCTGGGGATGAATATGATCAAAATAAATCGTATGACTTCTCAAAGAATCAATTAATTTTTTAAATTCAAAATGGAAAATAGTAAAATGTACAAGGCTGTGTCAAGTTGACAGTTAATGCTAACTAGAAAACTTTATAAACAATTTTATTATCACCTTTCTATTGATACAAAGAAAAATAATTTAAATGTGATCTCTACATTTGCTTTGGAAATTACCTAGCAAGGGAAGCTTTCTAAATGTTAAGTTGAGTTAGCAATAGGAGTATGATAGAGCAGGGGGAAGCAGAATCCTGTGCTCACTGAACTTCTCATGGTCCTTCTTTCTCATGTATATTTTACTTTGATGTTTAAGTAACAATGCAGTTAGTATAATGATGAAAAACAAGTAAATAATGTTGTACTAAAGTTAAAATAAATGTCATCAGGAGCCATCAGATAATTTCAAGTGTTTGAAAATACATAAAATATTGTATGCTCTTGCAATGACCTGTCAGAACTGGACATCTGTGAGATGAAATGTTGCATTCTCTGTTGTCTGATGAGTCTTATTTCCCTCCAGACAGAGCCAAAGGAAGATCAAGAGCAGGGACCCACTTTGACTCAGCCCGGAGACGAAGTCGAGCCGTCCTGTATCACATTTCAGGACACCTGCAAAGAAGAGAAAAGAACAAATTGAAAATAAATAATGTAGGTGGTGTGTGTGTACACTGTGGACACCAGTTCCCCTGGAGAGCAATGTTTGATACACTAAGGAAAGGTTCCAATTACTCATTTATTGCACTTTTCAGCTTTCTTTTTCCCACTTTGGCTTGCATTTGCCTGTAAAGAACAAACTAGGAAAGGCCAGCGTCATGAGGCATTTCTGTGAAACGTGTGCAATCATAGTGGTAGGACAGCACAGAGATTACAGTTCTGTCAGAGTGCAGAGTACTGAGGGGGGCACACCAGACAGACTCTGTGGATTGAGACACAGGACAGTGGAGCAGGTCACATGTATAGTTAGTGACTACTTTATAAATTTAATTTCAGTGTCAATGTTACTCTCTACCCCATCCTCCTTTGTGCCTTTACCTAGGGAACCATGGGCCAATACAGGTCATCACTCCAGTTAAGAGTTCACTCTGTACAAAACAGATGAAACTTTCAGACAGTGAGTTGAATCGCATTACATTGGAATCACAAGCTATCCTGATTAGGTTATACAGTTTTACTTTCAGTGAATTACAGTAAGGGTTGCTTCCTGAACCAGTGTGCTCACCTCTCAAGGGCCATTGTGCCAGTAAAAGCTGCTTGTTTTGTTTTCATAGAGTTTTAATCACACATCACACCCTCAAGAAATTTATACTTAACTGGTTTTTAAACACAAAGGTACTTCACCTGTGTGGAGAAAACCAGAACAATATCTGTTTTGATGTACACCTTCAAACACAGCTTTTCAGTGTGCAGTCATTAGACTCTGTGCAGGCTTGCGGGGTGACTATGCGTGGAAAATGAACACTCAGTCTAACTTGCCAGTGGATTCAGAAACATTAGTATTTAGGATTCAGAACCCCTTTGGAATTTTGAGATTGGTCCAGATGTCCTGGGAGCTGAGGACACAGGATGCTTTACAGCCCTACTTTACAATCGGCACCATGGAGAGCCTTACAGTCAATGTCCTGATGAAACAAGCCTTGCTTCAGGTGTTCAAAGTATCGATTTTTGTGCTTATAGCAAACAAAGAAAGGTGTCTAAACCCAGGGTGTGGCGAGCTAGTTGAATACACTACAAATGTGGTTTGGCTTTAATGCTGTTCCTTTCTGGAAGTCACAGTCAGTGTTCTGGTCCACTCATGCTCCTGGAGTCATCCAGCAAGCCTTGGCTGTTCTGCCATTCCCTCCTGTGGAACGTCCAACACAGTTGGTGGTGGGTGGAAGATTGGTTTTTTGTTCTGACTTACTATGATAGTTTTCTGTTTTGTTTTAGTGTGTGTGTGTGTGCCACTGATATGCATATATGCAGAGATTTGGTTATGCTGGAAGTCCACACTGTCTTCTTGCTTTAGTTGAGAAGCATTTACTTGAGATTCACTTAAATACTGCAAGTCTCAGTGAGATTAAAGAGCATTTGTTGAGCCTTGCTGTTTTCCCCTCTACATTTAACAAACTATAAAGCTTGAAAAGTATGAAAAAGTATAAAGTATGAAAAAAGTTATAACTCTCAATCCTTAGTGACTTGCTTAATTGCTGCTGTTCATTTCAGAAGTATAAACCTCAGAGGGTGGGTAGTAACTGAGAATGCCTAGTCAGCCCAGAGACACTGATAGCACAGGTGCCCTGACTTCTGAAGCCGGTGTGAAGTCTGCACTGGCCTCCATCACTGCATCCTTTTCAGCAGGATCGAGAGCCCCTAATGATCAGACAGCAGGAAGAGAGAAGGAAGGGCAGAAGAGGCCCTGCACTTACTGGAAAACAGTCTTAGGGCAATTCTAGCTGCAGTAGCCCATGCACACAAAAATGACCTCGAACATTCTATCACACTAGCTATTTAAAATTTCCTTCTTTACATTCTGTTATTCAGTTCGCACCACAGGCTAGTACTGTGTATTGTTTTTATTAGGTGCATCTTAACAAAGGGGGAGAAACCAACTTTTGGGTTTTTTTCTTAAAACTCTCTAAAGGGCTCAGACCTTAATTTTCTGCCTCAAATCACTGCCATGTTGTTGAATAGCTTTTCCCTATAGATGATCCTATACTGCAATCACAGACAAAGGAACTGCTTAGGCCTGTGTCCAGGCTTGAGAATAGGAGGTAATACCTTTAACTTAAGCTCTAAGTTTGCCTGGAAACTGTTGGGAAAAGACCTTAATTCCTTTTGATTTTGATTATTTACTCTATGAAATGAGAAGAGAATGAAGCTGGTCTACCCAGCAGAAATAAATGTTGTACAGGTCATAGGAGAGAGCCCCTCAGGAGTTTAAGAAAAATGCTAGCCGTGCCCAATATCACAAGCAGGAAGCCTTGCTTGTTCATTAGTACATCATCAAAGTCAGGCCTGTGTCAGGTGCACCCAGTGTAGTGAATGCAAGAAGATTTTTCTGCCCCCTTGTGCATTCAGAGGCGAGTTTCAAAGAAATATTGAAAAATACTTTAGAAAACCAACATCTTAATTGGGCTTTGGAGTTAACTAATGCATTTGGATCATTCATAGGATAAAAATTAACCAACTCAAGCATTATTAGTTCTAAAGCATACCCCTCAAAATTAAGAAATAACAGCTGCTCAAAATCTATTTTTTTTGTTTAAAACCTTGTCTTAGTCCTTGGACAAGCCCCATATGTTTGAGGATTATAAACACTGTGATATTTCTTCCCTGTTTCCATAGATTGCATAATTTTGTGTACATGCGTATCATTTATGGTTCTAAGAATTGGCTTGATTGTTAGAGACTCTGGTATAGTCTTTTCACTCAGGTGACTGTGTAATGATGTGTGCAGAATTGAATTATTGACCCTTCAAAAGTTAATTCAAACCTGAGATGGATTGACTCCTAAGTGTAATTTTTAAATATGTGTTGAAACAATAATTTGACAGTAACTTTAACTTACATATTTGAGTCTATGAAACTGACGCCATGCCGTTCACATTGAGAGATGTTCACATCTTGCTCAGCTTTTGTCTCAGCATTGCAGAGTTAAATGGAATCAATGTGACACAAAGTAGATACCTTTCCATGAGTGCACAGTCCTCCCTCTAGGTCTTCTTCTCTCACACTAGGTACAATCTGAGGCACTGCAACAAAATGGTAAAGATAGTAGCTATTTAGATAGAAGCATAAAGTATTCCTGGTAACTCCTGATAATTTCCCTTTATAAATATTTAGGAATAAAGTTATAACTCAATCTGCCATGTATAGGACTAGAAAGATGGCTCATCAATTAAGAGCACTTACTAGTCTTAAAGAAGACCTGGGTTTGGTTCCCAGTACCCATACGGTAGATTAAAACTGCCTGTAACTCCTTTTCCGGGGAATTTGATACCTCATTTTGGCCTCCATAAGCACCAGGTATACATGTAATGCACAGGCACCCATGCAGATAAAAGTAGTTACACACATAAAACAAAATAAATAAACTTTTAAAACAAGAATTTATTATATGCTATTATAACTTCAAAGTACCTAATCAACATTGGGAAGATGAATGTTTATGGACCCCAGTTCTCCTTTCTATGCTCTTAAAGGGCTTTAACACTCCCCACACACATACCCCACAAACATACAAAGTATTCCATTGTCTCAGTTTTATGGCAAAGTCCAGCTTTGGAACTCGCCCTCAACTAACAGGTGGGTAGTTGGATAGAACACAGGCAGTGGCACCAATCAACCATCCGGAAGTGAAACAGTGGCCCACCATGGAGCGTGAGCCTGACATGCTTGTATGACTAAGGAGACTTACTAGAAGGAAGTAGACACGTGCTGGGAACCCCTACCCTCAGACAAGGGGCGGAACCAATAATTCCAAGTCCTATCTCTGTTAATGTCCCTGGAATCCTCTGCTCTGAAGTTTCTTGAACACATAATTATATTTATCTGCCTTTCCCTCAGTGACTGAGACAAGGAACCAATACTGCAGCCTACAAGTACTATACATCCAAAACCTTTTCTGTTCATTCAAGTTAAATTTCAAATCTAAGTTCTCATTACTTTTCTTGCATTTTTCATTAATTAAGGTCAAAGCAAAGTCTATAAGTACCAGGCCACATGCTTGTGGAATTTCCACACTTGCTCTTGTTGAGGTTCTTTTTGTCTCATAGCAACAAGGGAATTGTTCATCGGTTTGAACTGCTTTCAAAGCAAAGTGCTTCAGCAGCCATCACAAGCTCTAGCTACTCTTTGTTAATTGGCTGTGTGGCAAACGTTACCTTCCTCCCCTAAGTAGCTGTTTCTCTCCTTCTTACTGGGTAGTCCATTGCTGAATATATTATCCATATTAGTCAAAGTAATTAGGTTTTGGTTCCAATTAAAAAAATATCACCAACACCCACAATGCACAAAAGCATGTGCCACCTAGTATATTTTTAGAGGAAAGCAAGCAGATGTTTGCACCTGAATGCTGGTCATCTCTACCTTTTGTGGGGTGGGGGTGGAGGATGGGAAGATATCTTTGCTGACATCAGCAGAATCTCAGGTCAAAGACGACTGTCATCTGAAATCCACCCATCTGCAGACTGTGCTCATACTAAGGAAGATGCAAATATGCCTTTGTTGTTCCATTATGTATAGGAAGACACTTGCAACTGGATGCTTTTAGATGACACTTGAGATAATCATCTTTTTGTTGTTTAAGACCCAAATCTAGATTACTCATTTAACAGTCACAATCTACAGAATCCTGTGCATATAGCAAAGATCACTGTTTAATTTTAGTTCAGTAACAAGCAGGACATGCTCTAAGAAGTGTGTTATTAGGGTAGTTTTGTTTTTGTAGGAACCCCATAGAGGGTGCCAATAAAAATCTACATCGTGTGTATCTGGGCTGGAGATGGCTTAGAGTTTAAGATGACTCAGAACATATACTGCTTCTACAGAGGAGCTGAGCTCGGTCTCCATTACCCATGTCAGTTGTCCCCCAAATGCTTATAGCTCCATTTTCAAGAGATTCAACAAATTCCTTTGCTTCCTTGGGCATCTGCATTTATGTGTATAAACCAATAGATTTGCTGGCCAATCACTCAATGTGTCAGTAAGCAATGAGTTCAGCAGATGATGTATGAACCTGTAGCGTATATACTAAATGCTGACAGTGAACTTTTTAAATGTATAGGAACACACTCTGAACCAGTAGTAAGATGACCACATTATAAACACATAAAACAGGAATATATGTCTACTACTAAGATCAATAATATGTGCTATGCACAATTATCAATGAGATTCAGTATTTTCCTGTAGAGCAGCATCACAGATAGGTCATGGTGTTACAGTGACCTGTATCTTCCCTGGGTGACAGGATTTCCATCTTACTTGGAATCTTGTGGGACCAGCATCACAATGAAGCCTGTAGTGGACTGCGGCACAGTTGGGTAGCACAGGACAGTAGACTCATGTTTGATTTTACAAGTCACTTGTAAGGTATTTGATGTTGAATGCGTGGGTGGTCCTGGCTCCTAAGTGAGCATTTAGGGCTGTTCAGTCTCCATTTCTAATTATATACCTCTTTGTTCCTTCTCTTCTTTGTGTCTTTATCCACAGAATGTGTTTGTAGATAAACCAGCATTTCCAGAGTATAAGGTTTCTGATGCAAAAAAATCCAAGTTCATCCTGTTGCATTTCAGCACTTTCAAAGCTGGCTGGGACTGGCTCATTCTGCTGGCAACATTTTATGTAGCTGTGACAGTACCTTACAACGTGTGCTTCATTGGCAATGAGGACCTGTCCACTACTCGGAGCACAACAGTCAGTGACATTGCAGTGGAGATTCTTTTCATTATAGGTAAGATCCAGTAGCTTCTCATCTGAAAGATTTGCAGGTTGGAAGCAAGTATGTTCCAGAATTTTCTGTGGAAAATTTGAACTGAGGTTCATTTTCCAGAGTGTGTCTCAGCCTGTAATGCAAATTTTGGAGACTCATATGCTTGTATTTCTGAAAACTGCTTCTTCCAGTTTTCCTGATGTTCCTGTGTTGAAACATCTAAGCTAATACCCCATGTTTCTATATTTATTTTATTAAAATAAATGGCTCAAAGGAAGATGTAGTGTCTGTTGTTTGGATTATGACATCCTTGGAGATATTAACTATGCAAAGTCAGAGATGAGTTTAGCAAAAACCCACAAGTAGAATCAGAGAATGGTTCAGGATATCCTAAGGGTGTGGTTATTTCATGGTGTTTCAAATGGACTCAGCAAGTGACCTGCCTACAGAAGCAAAGAGAAAGCAGAGGGCTTAGTTACCTAAGATAATCAAGAGAGGTAGTATCTGATTTTAGCTAAGGAGACTCCAAAGGATGATTGCTCCCAGTATTTACCTCTAGAACCCTGAGGATTTCAGTAGACTGATATTGGTTTGACTGTATAGACCTTTTTCTGTGACTGAATGTTAGCATGTGTTTGCTCTAGACAGGTGTGCCTGCTCCCCATGAATCCTGCCACGGTTATCACTGCATCTGTGAGCCCTGCTTGTTAGGACCCTAGCTCACACCCCCAAAGTGGTCACTGTAATGTGTTAGACCACTAGATGGCAATGATGTCTAGTTGCGTACCTGGGGAAAGCTATAAAATCAATTTAATATTTTTCAATTAAATACATGCATTATGAAGAAATTATAAGAATAAAGTAATCTGTTTGATCATGATGAAACAGCATATTGTACCATTACAGCTTGAATTTAGAATAAAGTCACAGACATATTGGATGTGCCTATTTCCCAGTCCACTTGGTTTCATCTCCTCTTAGTTTGATGTTTCCTCATATGGATTTGTGACTAACACAATGATGCTGTCATCACCCTGGAAACATTCTCAATATCAAGGTCAAAGTTCTGAGGGACTCGGGCTTTTGTTGCATATCTGAGCCTAGTTTCCTTCTAGGTAATAAGTTCACATGGTCTCATCAAGTACCAGGTTAGAGTGTCTGTTAAGGACACATGCCATCAACTTTCTAATGTGCCTATTTACAGTTCCTTCATCGGGGCAAAGCTGTTTCTTGACTTTTCTTGGCCATATTGTCCTGGTATTTGAGAATTGAAAACTCATGGAGTCAGGAATCCGTTCTGACACTGTGTGCTTTCAGGCAGAGGATGGCCTGTTTGCCCATGAGAACTCACACTCTGAGAAAGATTTATTTTTTTGGGGTATGCTTTCCCGTGGAAGACTGATGGAGACTGGTCTGTTCCTCTGATGCTGCTCTCAGTTCTTCTGTGTTCTTCCTGTAATGTCTGTTGATTCAGTAGCAAATCAATTCTCACAGTACCCAGCACCCACCACCACTAACTAATCTCTTGCTGCTTTTACCCAGTTGTGTTTATGCCACGACCACCTTACAGCTGGAGACACGTCTCTGCCAGCACTATGAAACCCTGCCTGGAATCCCTGGCTGACTGACTTAGTGTCACAGGCAATAGGGATTTGCTTGCAATTTTCTGCTGTTGCTACCTTGCTCTTTTAAATGAGTTTAAGCACGTGGACAATTTATAACACTTTTGAAGATGGTATATAGTACAATTTCTCCTGCTATGTTTACCCTGGCTTTTATCATGTGCATCTTTTCTTAAAGGTGGTCAAAAATGGTTAGTTATAAATAAGTTATGACACGTGGAGTAATAGCAGGTCATGGCACCACACCCCTGTAATTCTACCACTCCACAGACAGAAGCAGGAAGACCCAGATTTGAAGGCCAGATGGGGCTGCACACTGAAACTTTATGTTCAAAGCCAGAGATAATAAAAATAACACTATGAATAAAAATACATTCTACCTGTAGTACTAGATCTTTACAATACTAAGTATTTGTACCACTTTTATTAGTTTTTACCTAGAGGCTTCTAAGCCTCACCACTGAACTGTTCAGTCCATCCAGGTCCATTAAAGAGGGCTTGGGAAGGACAAGTTTCATTGTGCCTGAATGATGATGTTAAAAAAAAATGTTTTGTTATTTGCACTAGTGCCAGTGTTAGGCAATATGTGTACTTTTCAGATGTGGAAAAATTAAATGTTGCATGCAGAAAAGTTTCTTAGTCAGAATTAAAGATGGGAGATGATAAATTTCTTTGGGGGATTTATAATACATTTTAGCACTGTAAATCCTCAAAGAAAGTCTGTGCTGAAGAAACCTATTTAAATGTGATTTACAAGCATCTTGCTGGATTTACTTTACCCCAGAACTCATCCTCCGCAGATCAGTTAGCAATGCTCTTTTGGCATGATTGAAAAATGCCATGCCTAGCTTTATTCATCAGGAGGAAAACATCTGACTACAGAGTTAGTCAAGGCGACTTGAAACTCCTGGCTGCCCTCTCAGTCTCATTGTGTAAGCCACATTCACTCAAGATGACAGAGACTCTCCCTGTAAATTCCTGTATTCATGGAAAGAAGACAGGAAGTTGGACCTTCTCTTTTTTACTTTCTGCCTCATTGTTATGAACAAAGGGACAAAAAGTTGAGTGGAGTGTTTCGTAAGACAGGCTCACGTTGACTAAACCTGCCATAGCACTGGAGACCTGATGTTGCCATTGCATATTTCTGTGGCTTTTTACCTTGTTATGAAGGTACCTTACTACTTTCTGTAGCATTTGAATAAGTAGCCATTTTAAAAATGATAATTTTCATCAATGGTGCTTTATTTCCAAACCTTACAGCGTAGCCATGTTTTGAACATTACAGATTGTGTCACACAAGCTGGCTCAGCAGGTGTCTACTTCGTTCCCATCCTAAAAATTCCAAAGAGCCCAGGGGTGTGCACGCAGGAGTGTGCAGAGTCCTGGGAGTGAGCTGTGAGTTGTCTCAGTTTGCTGGTGTCTAGTGTAGGGACAAAGAGGTTACCAATTACTCTAAAAGGCTTAACTTTGGAGGCTACTTTGTAAGACTATAAGCACCCAACTTGGTCTCTTCAGGGACATCTGAGAAAGTTGAACACCATAGGAAAGAAGGGTGCCATGGCACTGTTGTGTTCTGTATGGTCATCTTAGCCTTGAGTCACTGAACTCTTCACCAGGACTCTGGAATAACACAATAGAGAGACAAATGGGAGGGGCCTAAATGGAGTGTTAAGAGCAAAGGATTTTAAGAATGGGAAGAATATGTGAACTGTAAAATGCACAGGTAATCCCAGATACTACATGGAATAAATAAAACCGTTCTCACTTCTGAACACAGCACAGTAACAGTGTGATTTCTAAAGAATTAAAAGGGAAATCTTCAAAGACCCTAGAGAAAGAAGACAATTGATCTACTTACACAGATACTAACTAGGCTGAAATGAGACTTAACACAGTAGGGGTGGAAGGTGATGGGCTATAACTGACTCACTAGAGAAGCATCAGCTCCTCCTCCTCTTTCCTTCCTCCCACCCTCTCCATCCCTCAACCCCTCCTTTCCCTGTCCTTTCCTCTTCCTTCTTTTCTTTGTCTCCTATCTTTTTTCTTTCCATCCCTCCTCTTTTCTACATTCCCTCCAGAAGAGCAGACACAATGAAAACATTTCCACAAAACAAAGCTATCGTGTTCCTCACAGTTTCTCATTCAAAGGACTATTTAAATGTTGGGGGAGGGGATTCTTGTTTCATTCTACCCAAAATGGAAGTAACCCAAAAGAAAGGAGCAAATTTAAAATAAGAAAAGAAAGCTTAACCAGGCAGTCAGGCAGTGGTGGTGCACACCTTTAATCCCAGCACTCAGGAGGCAGAGGCAGGGGGATCTCTGTGAGTTTGAGGCCAGCCTGGTCTACAGAGTGAGATCCAGGACAGGCACCAAAACTACACAGAGAAACCCTGTCTTGAAAAACCAAAAAAAAAAAAAAAAAAAAAAAGAAAGAAAGAAAGAAAGAAAGAAAGAAAAGAAAACTTAAGATGAAAATTGAACAAATAAGTTAATAAATTAGATTAACAGTCAGAGGAGAAAAATGGTATTATTCTGGTGGAACAAAAAAGAAATCAAGTTACAATGGACCTGCTGATAAAAGTGCTAGTGAACTTAACTAACTGCTGGTGTGTTTTATGTTTTCTTAAGTGGGCAGAAGATAAAGATTTTTAAACCATGGTGACCAAAGGAAAAGATACCAGGTAGATACATTTTGGAATGCTCATAGTAAGTGCAAAAATCTTGAACTTTAAATGTATGCAATGAATTGTGTATATTTAAAATAATAAAATCAGAATATCATCATCAGACCACTGATTCTGAAACAAAGAAGAAAAAGAAAATATCAAATATGATGAATCCAAAGAAAAATGATGAGTAAGACCACATAAGGAAGGAATAGGCAAGCATGATAAGATGAAAGAAGTAACAGGCAGTCAAAATAGATGAGTTTTTTTTTTTTTTAAGCTAAAGCGTTTGATGGGGGTCAATTCACTTTTTAAAGAGGCAGTAGTCAAATGGATTTTTAAAATACGCTGGTTAGAGATCTTATACAAAACACTCAGAAAATAAGAACTAAGAAAATGTGGGAGTGTTCTGTGTACACAGATGTGAAATGAGCCAAGTGTGGTGCTGCATGCATGGTCAGAGGACAAAATGTAGGCGTCCACAGTGGGAGCCCTGGAATCAACCTCAGGTGGTCAGGATTGGCAGCAGGCACCTCACTTGCAAAGCCATCTCACTGGCCTCTCAGCAGAATTTTATTAAGCTATAAAGAAAAATGAGGGCTGGGAATGGTGATGCACTTCTTAAACCCCAGCACCCAGGAAGCGCATGCGGTTAGATCTCTGTGAATTCTAGGCCAGCCTGTTTTACATGGTGAGTTCCAAGCCAGTGAATGTTCCATAGGAGGAAAGAGAG